CTGCACAGTAAGTTCCATTAGAAGAATCAATAATGGAAAACAAATTATAAAGGCGTTTTGCCTGGGTGGGTGTGGTGGCGCATGCTTGTCACCCAAGCTTTCAGGAGGCTGAGGCAGGAGGATTGCCTTGAGGCCAGCCCAGGATGGACAGTGAGACCCTGTCTCACCAGCCCCTGCCCCAAATGCTTGATGGCTCCTTGGTCTCTTCCCTTTCTTTCTTTCTTTTCTTTTCTTCTTCTTCTTCTTCTTTTTTTTTTTTTTAATCTCTTCCCTTTCTGTACCTTTAGAAGGATTGGTATGGAAAGAATGACAGAGGTGTCAAAGGACATGTGTTCAAATCTCAGCCTCCTCACTAGCTGGATGCCAAGGGTGACTTCTTCTCTCAACCTCCCTTGTCTGTGGCTAAACCTCCAGTGAGCTACTGTGAGCGCCAAGGGAGGCGATCTATGTTGCTGTCACCGGACACCTATCAGTGTTGCCTTTGTTCCCAAGGACCATTCAAACTTGGACGAGGGCAAGGAAAGGATCTTTCAGAAAATAGGACTTCCTGTTTGAGAAGCTGAGAGCAGACTGACATCTTAGACCTGCAGGGATGTTTTCCTTCTTCTAGAATCTCTTGGCAAGAACTCAGGCCACTTGCCTTCAGTCACACGGTGGACTCAAAACCCGGGCCTCTGGTGGCAGCGCTCGGTGCACTGCTGGGCTGTCCCACCAGCACATACTGGGGTCCCTGTCCGAAAAGACATCTGTAGAGAGACAGCCGCAAGGCCTTTACAGTTCTGCGAGCTGGAGAGGGAGGTGAGCCGCTCACCTCGTCACCTTCAGCCCCTGGCCAAGCGGGGTGACTTTCAGGTGGTGCATGTTGGGGAGCTGCCCAGGGCTGTGGGGTCTGCACACATCTTCATAGCGCCAGGACATGGGGTTCGCAGAGGAAGTGAGAAGCACCTGGGGACACGAGAAAGGAGGCTCAGCGGGGATATAGGCCTGGCCCAGCCGAGTCACCTAGCAGCACTTGAGCCACACCCCCAGACTCAGAAGAAGGAGCTCAGCCGTCCTGGCCTCTACTTCCCCTTGCTGCCAGCGACACTGGTGACTGTGTTATAAGGTGCCGGGCACAGTTAAGGGCCGCCCATACCTTACCTGGCTGACACTCCCAGCCTGCTTTTATGAGGCAGGAGAAAGCAGGGATAAGAGGCTGGGCTCTGGTGAGTTTTCTGGGTTCTAATCTGGTCCTCCGGTTTATATTCCAGGTAACTCTGTGCAAACTCAATGTGTCTCAGTTTCTTTATCTCTAAAATGGGGATGTGGTGGTACCTACAGAGTAGTTCACTCTAAGGACTAAGTCAGCTACGCATTCACCCACTTAGAGAGGCCCTGGCACACACAGGCTGTGTGGGTGCATGGGCTATTCGAATCCATCATTATATTCTTTGGGGACTTCCCCCCTTCACCATCTTACCTGAGGGTCCCTCTTAGTCACTATGATTTCATTCCATTATCTTCAAAGCACCAGTGAATCTTCTCTTTGTCCTTCTCTCTTGCTTATTGTCTGTCTGTTTCTCCTAACACGTACATTCTGCGGGAGCGTTGTGTGTGGACACAACACGCTCCTTGCCAGCTGTGGTGGTAGTGCCTGTAATTCCAGCACTCTGGAAGGCTGAGGCCAGGGGATCTCGCATTCAAGCCCAGGCTGGGCAACTTAGCAACTTAATAAAAGTCTGGCTCAAACTTAAGAAAAATAATAAAATAAAATAGCAGGGACAGGCTTGGGAGATAGCTCGGCAGTCTAAGCACCTGCCTGGCAAGAGGGAAGACTCAAGTTTGATCCCTGGTACCACATGCCATACCAGCCCTGGGTCCCGGAGTGCACTATGCTGGCCCTGAAACTGGGCTTGGTGATGCACGCCTGTAATCCCAGCGCTGGGGAGGCTGAGGCAGGTGGATCACTATGAGTCTGAACTGCATAGTGAGACCCTATATCAAATAAATAAATAATTTTTTAGAATGATTTTCTAAAAAAAAAAAAAAAAGGGGGATCAGGATTGTAGCTCAGAATGAAGGCCGGGCTGGTGAGATGGCTCAGTGGTCTAAAGCACCTACTTAGAACAAGCTTGGCAAAGCATAGGGACCGTGGTTCAATCCCCTAGCACTACATGCCAGCCAGCCCCGCCCCCTGGTGGGCTGAGCTACACACACACACACACACACACACACACACACACACAAATAAAATTTAAAAAAAAAAAAGAATGAAGGCCTCAGAAATGTAGACTGATGGTGTGGTAGTGAGATATGTAGATGACAGACTAAAGAGATGCTCAGTACGTGTTTGTTGCATTGTTGTATCCGACCTTCCTGAGCCCTAAGAGGCAGATACGCAGGGTGACCCCGTCAGTGGAGGAGCCAGGTGAAGCGCGAAGACTTCGCTTGCTCCAGGTCACCTCACTAGGACTCAAACCCAGTTGGATTCCAGAACCTTCGCCACTGTACTTCCGATCCAATCCCGGCCCTGCCTGGCCCCAACTTTCCCATCGGCCTCCGCCGATCGGTCACCTCTGTCACCTTCGTCCCCAGTCTCCCCCCCCCCCCAATTCCTTGTTTCAGTCTCACCCTCATCTAATGTCTGACAGGGCTTAGACTGGGCTTTGTTCCAGCCCCTGAGGCCAACATCTGTCACTCAGCCTTGGGGATGTTTGCTTCCTTTTATGATTAGTATAAAGTTCCACAAATTCCCTCTGACCAACCTGCCCCAGACATTCTTTGGTATCTTTCCCTGAGTGTGCACCGCACACACTCATGCAGTTGGTGACTGTTTTCTCAAGCCGAGTGTGTATCAAGGAGGGTCCGGTGGACTTTTTGGAAAGCGGGCATCCTTCTGGGGCTCTGGCCAGTGGCCAGCTGAAGATGCTCCTGACACATCTGCAAAGCCCCACCGTGGCTCTCTGGGAGTCCATGCAGGGCCTGACAGTGTCCTGGTCACGTGCACACAGGCCCAGCGCACAGGCCCAGCCAGGTGGGCGAGTGCCCCCAAGGCTCCTCAAGGTCACGACGGCATGTCTCACTGCCCAGCTGGACACACGGCTGGCAGCACTTGGGGTCGGGGCCAGCTGGCCAGAGACACACCTTCAGGGATCCCGCTTTGCTTCCCCAGGGCTGAGGAGAAGGGGGTTAGCTTGTTGCCGCAGATACATGGGGGCCACACTCCAGTCTAGCAGGGACAGGCGCGTTAGGACTGCGCAGTTCTGGGAGTAAGCAGACACGAATGGGTGAGCCTGGGGACAAAGTTAAGGCTGAGGCTCAAGGACCTGGAGATCAGGATGAATGAGCCATGTCCACAGCAGGGGCAGGCAGGCTGGAGGCCAGGAGGCGGGACACCCGTTATAGGCTTATTGCTGCAATCCTGTAACATGGTCCCGAGCATCTCCTCATCTGCACACTTGTCAGGACAGTTCCGCTCTCTGACCTCTCAACTTCCTCATGAGAACTGGACAAACGAGGAGACGCTCCCACATGAATTGGGGGTGGAAGTGGCGCCTCTATCTGGTGTTTGTCCAGTTTCCTCAGTGATACTTTCAATGTAAAGGCTCAGGACAACTGCCTTGTAGTAAACCCTACAGGAAGCAGAGGCTCCTCTGGGGATGACGACTTGGCCTGAAAGGTCGCCTGCGACACATTCTCTTGCCTGGAGGAATCCATGACCCAGTTATTCCACGTCGAGAGATATACCCGAGATGCGTGTGGTGTTCACCAAACATGACACCTAAGAGTGTTCACAGCGCTTTATTTATAATGTGCAGACCCCAAACAACCCAAACAGCCACCAGCAGAACAGGCCAACAAACTGGGCAGCCACTCCCAGGAAGAAGGAAGAAGCCAGAGAGAGAGAGAGAGAGAGAGAGAGAGAGAGAGAGAGAGAGAGAGAGAGAGAGAGAG